GGAAGGACAGTGATTAGAGATGCAGCCCACAGAGCAGAAGAGCTCTAGGGCGTATGTCACCTTGTCCTGGCGGCGGCAGAAGTCCCGAGGGCCCCTCCTTCAGGCCCCCTGCACCTCGGTGGCCTGGCCGACTCTGTAGACCTGAGCGCCAGGCCAGCTGGAAGGCTACCCCTGCCCGTGGGCTCCCCTGTGTATTGGGGGCCGATTCCCAGGCTGGCCACACGGAGCCACGTCCTCTGTTCCAGAGGCTGGGGAGTGCGGATGTGAAACGTCCTTCCGGGGGGTGCTTGGCCACCTCATCGGGAGCACGGGTGTTGTCAGGATGTTTGGAGTGTGCAGGATTCTGAAACCAAGTTCTCTGGCCTATATTGGAGAAGCACATTTTATTATCTAAACATTTGCAGGGGGAGTGAAGGAAGCCAGATGGGAGATGCCCAGGGGCATGTGGGTGATTACGCAGGGTCACGTGCAGCCACAACAGAGACTGGCCTTCAGTGCTGCTTCCGTCCTAAGCAGGGAACTCGCACTGGCCAGTCCTGCTGGCTGCACCCCGGGGGGGGGGTGGCCCATCCTTGTGGCCTCCTCTCCGTTGCAGCCGGTACAGCCTTGGAAAGCACCCCTTCCCGCCCACCGCACAGCGCTCCAGGTGGAACTGCCCCTTGGTCAGAGCTGTCGTGGGACAGGGAAGCTGTGGCCATGGTCACGCTCCACGCTGGGGTCCATGAGTGTCTTCAGCACCTTCACGTATCCTGTGGCTTATACCTGACACCTTTCTTAAAAAAAAAAAAAAAGTCCCCAATGTAAACAATTATATAACCTTCTCCTGCATCTCATTACAGCATCAAAAACATCCTGAAAGACACAGAAAACACTGGATGCTTTAAGTCAGACGTACTGAGACGCTTTGTTGTCAGTTTCAAGCGTTGCTCCCCATCCTTTGCTGCTCGGCCTGAGCCCCGTCTGCTTCCTTCTTGGAAACAGGGACAAGAGGCCGGCGCCGCAGGTCAAGCCCATCTCTGCAGGGCCGAGGCAGACCAGGGCAGTATCTAACTGAAGTGCCATGTAGAAAATTTTCCTCTTATTCCAAACTTGCACTGTTAGCGATGGAAAATGTTTTTCTTGTCATTTTTGGTGGAAATTTCAATAGCTTTTTTAAATTCGAAAGACAACGTATAGAAAATAATGAAGGCACATAGGAGAAAATAGAAATGAACTCCAATCTCACCATGCAGAGATAGCCACTCTTGACATTTTGTTATATTTCTTTCCAGTTATATGTTTATACACATATATGTATGATTTATTGTAGTTTCGGTATTCATTGTGTATATAATTGTGTGTAACTATAGCTTTCCACTTAACATTAGAGCATAACCAAGTTTCCACATTGTTAAACAGCCTTGAAAAACACCGTCTTGGACTTGCTGCTGTGTTTTTTCCATCTTATGGATGTACCATAATTTATTTAACCATTCCCATATGATGGGACAAATACACCAGTGCCAGCTTTTTACAACTATATATAAAACTTCGGTGAACATCTTTGCAAATCAGTCCAAGTTTGGAAAGAGACATCAAGATTTGACTGGTTACTTAAAGAGCCCTAGGCGCAAAAGGGGGAAGAAAATGCATGAATACTAAGAATTGACCTTGTGTCCCAACCTGTGGAAACAACAGTTAAGAGTACGATGCTGGGGAAGGAGCTCTTTTCTAGAACATACCACACACTTTCTTGGCTTCATTAAGTTTTCACTAAAAGCTTTATTATTTTCACCTGTAGGACAACCAGGTTTTAAAGATTTTGTGTATCCAGGTAAAAGTCATAAAAGTCGCCCAAGTTGTGATAAGCAGTCATGGCCAGTGGGCATGCAGCCCCCGGACAGCAGCTGTTACTGCTCCTGGCTTTTCCTTGTTTCTGGTCACCAACCAGCATGTCCTAGGAACTCTGGGGCCAGGCTGGATACTCCCCTCTGTGGAGTGTCAAAGTTGTCACTTTACACATCATTCTAAGTCTGTAGACTCCTAAGGAGGCAGCCTTGAGGGTGTCTAGAGAAAGGGTCTTGGCCTTCTGAAGTGATTTGTGTCTTTCGTTGAGGTTCAGAGGACTTTTTTTCCTGCTAACGCCTAGGTTCGGAGCCTCAGGGGTGACATAGATTCTGAGTGCTGCAGAAGCAGAACATTTTGACTCTCAAATTCAAGGTTGTTTCTTTTCAATACCCATAAAAAAGATTTGTAGAAATGTCCTAGCTAAAACGATGAGGCGTGCAGCCAGCCGTACACCAGCCAGCACCCGTGATGCTGATGTGAGGTGCCGGAGGGCGCCCAGAGAGGCTGTCCAAAGACGCCCTCCGGGGCAGAAGCCCCCCTGGACTTACCCCACCCCACCTTCTCCCCGAGATGCCCGGTGCCGAGGACCGCTCTGTGGCAGAGGGTCAAGCGTTAGACCCTCCGGATTCTTTTTCTCTAGGGCACTGGCCTCGGCCAGGTGCAGCTGGAAGGTGAGACACTGTGCGTGTGTCAGTGACTGCAGAACAGCGGGCTGCAGTGTCTGACGTTCACGGGTGGAACTGGGCCTCCAACCGCCCACCCGGCCCTGCACACGTTACATAACCTCACTCTGCTTCAGCCTCTTCATCCATAAAATGGGCCAAACCTCCAACCTCTTAAGCTGGTTGTGATCCTATGTTGAAATATAGGAAATGTAGTGGAAAAGCTTAGAAGGTCCTGGCTGAATGTCACCTTTCTTGTACCTCATCCCACAGAGCAGTCAACAGAGGTGCAGAGGCAACAAGCTAGGACCAGCCGGGCGTGGGGGAGGTTCGAATGGCGGGGGGTTCCCAGTTCGCGGAGAGATCTTTGGGGGAGGTGTTTCCCTGAGCAGAGTCACATTTCCTTGTGCCCTGAGCTGATGCTCCCATGACAGGCGTGAGCGGGGCAGCTCCTGCAGGTGCGGGTTTGGACACCCAGCCCCTCTTCACCCCGGGGCCCCCAGGCAGCCCGTTCATATTCCTGCCCTTTGTGTCTTCTCTGAGTTTCAGCTGCTGCCTTGTCCGCGAGGTCCTGAACACCGTGCTTATGGGTCAGCTTTCAGGGAGTGGGGGTGGTCCCCAGGGCCTGGGCAGGCTGGGGAATCGCAGGGGACCCAGGCAGATACAGGCACAGCAGGGCAGGAGGGTGGAGGGTCTAGGGGCCCAAGGCACTGGGCCGAGGGCAGGTGGAGGTGGGGCTGTCCCCTCATCTGTCCCTGCTGTGACCTCCAGGCTCTTGCCAAGCCCGAGAGGGAGACTCTGATGGGTCGGATGGTCCCAGTTCCCCGCCACCTCCCCGGGGAAGTGCTGGGGAACAGGCAACCTCACAGCCCACCGAGCTTACCGTCCAGCCCAAGCAAGGCAGTCTTTGGCTTGGGGCCCAGGCCCAGTTCCCTCCAGGTGCGACCACGTGCCCTGAGCTGCGTGACACAGAGCGTGACAACTTCCACACTGGCCACCTCTTCCTGGAGGGCTCTGGGGCCTGGCTGGCCCGCTGCTCTCACGGGCAGCTGGGCTCGTGGCACATACATAGCCCAGCGAGCCAGGAAAGGACCCTGACTTGTGCCTGGTATGTGCCAGACCCTCTGCTCGTGGGAGTTCCGAGTCCCAGACTGAGTTAGAGCTTCCTGACCCGGCTTTCCAGAATGGGGTACGTGTTGTGCTGAATTATTTTTTTAAAGACCAAAAAAAAAAAAAGAAAAGCAAAGATCTTTCTCAGGGTGTAAGTCAGTCTTCACAGCTATTCCTGGTGCGTAGGGGAGTGAACTTTCTTAACGTTTTCTTGAAGTTTCTTAAAGGAAATCTCTCACCAGTTCTCTCGGGTGTGGCACTTAGCTGCTGGGAACAGACACGGTTTATCTTGCAGAGAAACTGTTTTGCAAGAGGTTTCCCACAATTATGGTCTGAGGGAGGGTCCTTGCTAGCTTTTCTTAGTCACTTGGGCTTAAGGGAAAGGTGGGTGTTTTTTTTTGGCTGTTCTTTTTTTCTTTTTCTTTTTTTTTTTTAAATCTGAAAGCAAGAGCGATCTGGGAGCAGGCCACATGAGTAATTACCCTGAATTAGGGAGACAAAAGGACCGCTGATCGGCATTTCTGTGCCCCTGCAGGTGGGTGATGGCTTTGGGTGGAATGTCACAAACTACTCAGACTAGGGGGTGAGTCAGAAATCCTTGGGTCACTTGTGGTTTTCTTCATGGTTTTGGTGTGACTATTAACTTGTTTTTACTTAACAAGAAAAACAGGTGTTTGGGTGTCTGTTTGAAATACTGCTGCCCCACTCTTAGCAGCTTACTGTAGTCCCATGGCTACCCCAGGTTGGTTGACACCAAATAGATAAGTGAGAGCCAGGGCCGGCCTCCATGGGCACCAACAATGAACCTTAAACCCCAGATCCTGTGATGCTCGTGAAGAGGGAAGGGGAACCTGGAGCAACCAGTCATTCTGAGGCAGGAGATAGATGGGCCTCAGGCTGAACTGCTGGAGTTTCTCCCCTGTGGACAGATACTCCAAAATAGCAGGAGCAGGAGAGGAGCTGAGCCCCGCCCAGATGAGAGATAAAAGACCGCATATTCCTCATTCTTGAGATCAAGGAGACCTTCCCGACTACACATGCGCAGAAAGGCTCCTTGAAGGTCAAAAACGGAGGGGCCGCCACCCCATAGTAGGTGATGTCAACCTACCCATAGGCCTCTTCGCTAGAATCCATCTTGGCTGAGAGATGTGCACGCACACAGGGGAGGACCCTGAGATAAACCAAATACGGACTCAGAACCAGGCAAAGCAAGATAATTGGCCAAAGGAAACCGGAAGAAATGCCCCATAATAGTGATTCAAACTACCACGGAGGCGAGACTCTCTCTCTGAGCCCGCCTGTGTGTCTATCCACACGTACCTTTTTCCCTCCTAATAAACACTTTGCTTGTTTCACTACTTTCTGTCTCTCTGTGGAAATTCATTTCTACACAGCTGACGGGCCAGGGCCTTGTCACTGGCCACTGGTCCCTGGTGGTCTAGAGGCGAGGATTCAGCGCTCTCACTGCCGCGGCCTGACCTCAATCTCTGGTGGGAACCGAAATCCTGCTTCAAGCCGCTGCAGGCCGAGGCCACCTGAGGTCAGTGTGAGGAGTTTAAAGTGCTCACTGTTGGGCACTCACAGACCACTCTGGAGTGAACGCCCCCTTTGGAAGTGAGCGTGTGTGCTCTGATCTGGCTTTGATGCTCTACCTGCCGCCTGCATGAGCTAAGGGCTCTCACCTTGACCTCTGTTGCTTTTTGGATGGAAATAATAGTAGCACATTTGTCCAAATGCTGCTTTGGGCTTTCTTTCCACCTGGCCAGACGCTGTGGCTTTTCCATGCCCACTAATGTCCACACGCATGTGCTCTGTGTCATGGGTACCAGGAGACTCCCCACAAGCCCTCACGCCCTGCCCCGTTCCCTGGCTACAGAAGCCAACAGTTTCCCTCAGGTCCTCAGGCCTGAAAGGATGAGTTTCAGGCTTTCCTGCTGAGACCTTTAGAAATGAGAACATTTGGCTCCTATCAAGTCTGTTCTGTTCACAGGGATGAAGGGGGAGGGAGACACCAGCTTGGACCCTCTGCCTCGGGACTGGAGGTGGCTGGAATCTGCCAGAAAAACAGACCAGGAGTCTTTTTCACCAGGAGCTAAAGGTGGCCCCAATTGTCATTTTACCCCATCCTCATGCCCCTGTCTTATAGCTGTGTCTGTGACCCTTAGACGTGGAGTTCTGCAGGGTTGGGGTTTTAATCTGCAGCTTGGAGCAGGGGGGTTTGGCTGCCAAATTGTCACAGCCCAGTGTGTACCTTCCCACAAAGCCAGGCCCCAAGCTTTGGGGACCCCTCGAAATCATGGACTTTTCTGTCGATGGCTGGGAGCTCCAAAGATTTGCTGTCTCGCCACGTCCCTGCAGCTGGCAGGAAGAATCAGGGCAGCTGGTGAGTCAGAGACCTGGGGTGTTAGAAATGAATGTCATTTCCGAGGGAGATGGTCGGTGCAGCATCGTACCTGCTGCTCTCGGGGACGTGCCGGTGGTGCAGCTGGGAGAAACAGCTGCGGCCAGTCACCTTTGTACTCTTTCCTGCTGTGTCCCCAGTCCTTGAATACGCCTGGTGTGTAGCAGTTGGATGACTCCATTCTCTTCTCTTGGGGAGGTAAGAGGCGGTACAGGGTGGGACGCTAAGCGCATCACCAGTCACTGTCAAGTCCACCGTTTACCTTCTCTTCCCATATGTAATTACTGGGGGGACATGGGATGGTGTAAGCAAGAGGGCTCTTGCCAATGAATGAGCACAGCAGATAGGGGTTCCTGGGCCCTCTTCCTGCCCTTGCCGGGGGTGGAATTCCTGTGGGAAGCAGAGAGGGAGCTGGGCAATGGTGGGGGGAATCTGGCTTGTGGATAAAGTGATGTTCTCTCCAGCTCCTCCTTGCCAGAAGGTAGAACTCCATCAGGATGAAGCCCAGGACCAGCCAGAAGCAGCAAATGAGAGATTCCTTCCATCTCTGAAATTCCTACACTCAGGGAACAACTGTCCCCACAAAGCCTGTGGTCAAGAGGCCCGGGGGGTGGCTCATCCCCCCAGCCAAGGAAGCCAGAACGAGCTACTGTGCAAAAGGCTTTTGGAAAGATCTGAGATTTCCCAGGTGCCGGGAACCCCATAGACTTGAAGCTGTGTATGAGGCTGGTGGGTGAGACATCTGTCCCGCCGGCCACACTGATCTAGTGCAGAGATGGCTCTGCTAGCCTTCTGGTCACCCAGGGGCATTTGTTATGCCAGTGGGGACCATGAAAACCCTGGAACCCAAAGTTGCCATGTCAGAGGTGGACAAGGGTCTTAAAATGCACAGGAGCTGCTCCTAAGATTTTCTTTGATTTGATCAGCATTGATGGAGCATCGATAATACAAAGGGAACTGTACCAGGTTCCAAAGGATGTAGCTATTGCTGGTAACAGATGAGCTGAAATGTCCAAACAGTAGCTGCTGTTGCACTCCCCGGAACCCAAAGGTGTTCTTAGGGAAACGGGGGGGAAGTGGTCCTTACAAACTGCCAGTATTTTTAAAATCCAGGACTTCCCTGGTGGCGCAGTGGTTAAGAATCCGCCCGCCAATGCAGGGGACACGGGTTCGAGACCTCGTCTGGGAAGATCCCACATGCCGCGGAGCAACTAGGCCCATGAGCCACAACTGCTGAGCCTGTGCTCTAGAGTCCTCGAGCCACAACTGCTGAGCCCGTGTGCCACAACTACTGAAGCCCGTGCACCTAGAGCCTGTGCTCCGCAACAAGAGAAGCCACCACAATGAGAAGCCCACGCACTGCAACAAAGAGAAGCCCCCGCTCGCTGCAACTAGAGAAGCCTGCGTGCAACAACGAAGACCCAGTGCAGCCAAAAATAAATAAATAAATAAATAAATAAATAAATTTATTTAAAAAACCCAGATCCAATCATGGTTTTTGTTTTTCCATCTGGCAGCAGCTCTGGGAACACAATTACCCCAACCAACTCACTTGCCGCTTACCTGCCCAGCCTGACCTTCCCATCTAAGACCAGGCTTGAGCACAAAGTGTGGAGGGTTGGTGCCCAGAAGAGGGGCTAGGAGGAGAGGAGCCCCCGCAAAGCAGCCTGGTGCCCCCCTTCCCCTCTGTCTTACTGGTTTCCAAGAAAATCAGGGTGTGTCTGGGCGAGCTTTGCTATGTGTGTTCCATGAACCCTCTCCTCCTGGGGCTGGGCAGTGCTGTCCCTTTACTCTCCCACCATGACCAATGACCTCCATCTTCCTCCATAGTCAACGCTCTACCAAGATGAGTTCTCATTTTCTGCAAAGCAGTGTGGTCAGGGGAGAGATGAGCCAGGCCTGGCCTGTCCTCAGAGAGAAAGGAGTCCAGTGAGTCCCATGCAGGCTCTCCCAGTTCAAGCCAATGCTCCCTTTCTGAGTGGCTGGGAGGCTTTGAGTTGTAGACACGTGTGAAGCATTCTTTATTATTTGGGCCTCTCTTATGAACATCGCTGAGGTCAGAGTGAGCTGTGAAAGCAACTTTAACACAAATGCCTTGGAGAGAATCGTGGAGCAATTGCACCTAAAATCCTTTTATTTTTAAATTTTTGACCACACTGCCTGGCATGTGGGATCTTAGTTCCCCGACCAGGGATCGAACCCGGGCCCCCTGCAGTGGAAGCGTGGAGTCTTAACCACTGGACCACTGGGGAAGTCCCCTAAAATCCTTTAATATACTGTCTAGGTGGGGATTTTTTTCTTCTGTTCTCAAGGTCACCTTGAGGGGAGGAAGCTTCCTCTCCCCTTCCCTGGAGGGTTGGGTTGAACACTTTGTTTTTCTCCACTCAACTTGCTGACCTGCCCCCAGAGAGGAGCTGTGTCACGTCTGACTGGGGAGACTGGTCAGAGCCTGACACACGTTGGGCCACATTTGCAAGGAATGTGGCCACCATGTTGTTTTTGCTAACGGTCTCTCTTTCTCGCCCCATCTGAGTCTCACCCACTGGGAAGAACAGCCAGGGCCACTCTGTTTTCTTTCTGGAGAATTTGCGCAACTGGGGGAGAACTGGTCTCTCTTGACAGCCATTTCTCTCCTGTCATCTGTGGGACTTCGTGGCCAATACTTAGCAGACCCAACTCTCCCCTCTGGCAGTTCCAAGGGCTTCACCTGGGCAGTGATACTGGGAGTCTCCAGTTTGGTCTCTGGGACCAACCAGGTTCCCTAATCCAGCCTTTTCACGGAGCTATGAACTTTGTGAGTTTGGGGTCATTTAGTCTTTATTTGCATCAAGATTCTTTCATGGAAATTCAAGTTTTCTTGAGCACTGACTACCCACAAATACTCTTAGAAGTGACAACACTCATTAATGAGTTTGCCCTCCATGTCCTTGTTGTAGTGACATCTCATGAGCTACATTGGCCTCATTGTCCAGTCTTTGCTCCACGATGTCTGGGGCCTCAGCTGGGGAGACACAGAGGCTGAGACCAGGAATCATCTTGCCTGTGTTTGTGACGACTGATGCTGGCCATTAGCTGGGACTTAAGCTGGTGCTATCGGCCAGAACACCTACACATGGCCTGAGTTTTCTCTCAGCATGGTGGCCTCAGAGAGGTCATACTTCTTACAGTAAGTCCCCTACATACGAACAAGTTCCGTTCCGAGAGCATGTTCGTAAGTCCAATTTGTTCATAAGTCCAGCAAAGTTAGCCTACGTACCCAATTAACACAATCAGCCATATAGAACCATACTGTAATAGGTTTATAATACTTTTCACACAAATAATAAATAAAAACCAAGCAAACACAAAAAATAAAGAAGACATCTTTAATCTTACAGTACAGTCTCTTGAAAAGTCCAATAGCTGGCATACCGGGGCTAGCATCGAGGGAACAGGCAAGAAGAGTTACTGACTGGAGGAGGGAGAGGAGGTGGGAGATGGTAGAGCTGAAGGATCGCCAGCAATAGGAGACAGAGGACAAGCTGAAATTTCACTCACGCCTGACGTGATTGGGCATGCCAACTCACGTTTGCATCTTTGAAAGTTCGCAACTTGAAGGTTCGTATGTAGGGGACTTATTGAACATGAATCTCTAGATTCCAACTACAAGGTGGAAACTGCCTCAACTTGTATTACCTAGCTTTGGAAACCAGGTGTGACGCTTTTGCTACACTCCTGAATGCAAGCAAGTTCCAAGCTTGTCTGGATCAGTTAGATCCCACCCCTTGGTGAAGAGTGTCAGGTTCTGGGAGAGCAGGTGGGATCAGAGGTGTTCTTGTGACCACCTTTGGAAACAGAGTCTACCACAGAACAATCAGGAGATGCACATTACAGATGCTTCCTCCTTTGTCTGTCCTGTTCTACCGGTGGACACAAGGTAGAGAACAGTAAAAGCTGGCGGGAGTGTTCTCAGGAACCGTCAGTCATGGAAAAAGTGGTGGGTTTCTCATATATTTGACCAGGAAATACCTGTGGAAGGCAGGGGACTCAGGGACCCTCACTTTGGAACACTCCTTGCTGGCTACACACCCTGATCTGGACTCTTGAATCTCAGCTCTTGCAACGTGCAGCTAACATTCGTCCCCTTGTCATTTTGGGCTAAAAATACTGCCGTGAAGGGGTGGTGATAGGTTTCTATCGAAGTGCTTTGTGCAGAGCCTGCAACTTAGTACATGTTCAATAAACAAGGCTGTGATTACCATCGCCTGACTTTCTCATAATCTTTACTGAGGGTCCCACACAGGGGACTAACGTGTCCCTTCTCTTCTTCAGAGCTATCAAGATGGTCTACGTACAGGAAGGAGGTTTCTACCTGACTACCGCACTAAGGGTTTAAAAAGTCGACCCTCACCCTTTCCAACTCAAGTTCCTATGAGGCAAGGAGGTTTGGGATAATAACTTGGATATTATAGCATTTGTTCAAATAGATAGGAAACTGCCTTATTATAGTATTGAAGTATAGTTGATTTACAACGCTGTAAATCACTGTACAGCAAGGTGATTCAGTTATAGATATATATTATATATATATTTTTTCAGATCTTTTCCATCGTAGTTTATTACAAGATATTGAGTATAGCTCCCTGTGCTGCACAGTAGGACCTTGTCGTTTACCTAGTTTATATATAGTATTGTGTATCTGCTAATCCCAAACCCCTAATTTATCTCTCCCCTCCTTTCCCCTTCAGTAGCCATAAATTTGTTTTCTCTGTCTGCCAGCTTGAATGCCAACATCAAATAAGCAGATGGTCCCGGCAATGTTTGCAGCCATTAAAAATCATGTTTTCCAAGAATATGTAATGACAGAGGGAAATATGATCTAACGTTAAGTGAATTGCTTCAATATTCAAAACTGTGTACCCAGGATGGTCTGGTGAGTCAGCTGTAATAACCACAGGCAGGAGGAAGGGTCAGCCAAACCCTGCTTATTCATTCTCACGAATGGGGAGATGGTGGGGGAGGCCCCAGCAGAAGGCGCAGAGCCCTGGGGGGGGGTCAGTTAACACCTGGTTGACAGGGTCAGAGGGGAAGGAGGATCTTGCTAAGCAAGAAGGAGTCAAGGCTGCTGGAAAGGGATTGGGCAGCACCGTAGACAAGCCTCCTCGCTGTGGACCATGTTCCCATGAGCCAGTCCAGTTGTGTCATCCCAAACCTGTCCTACCCCTTTGACTGGAGGCCATCGGTTGCTGCCCTCTTTTTTTGGCAGGTTCTTTAGGCTCCCCTAAGGTCCTGTCTACATGGTTCTTATTTTTATTTTATTTAAAAAATTTTTATTATTATTATTTTTTTGGCATCTCCATGAGGCTCACAGGGTCTTAGTTTCCCAACCAGGGATGGAACCCAGGCCCACGGCAGTGAAAGTGCTGAGTCCTAACCACTGGACCTCCAGGGAATTCCCTTATTTTGAGTTTAGAGACCTATTTGAAAGGCAATGTGCATGCAATCTAGTCCCATAACTAGAGGATCAGCTTCAATGAATCTCTGTGGCTTCAAACATAAATTGCACATATATTTTTCAATTGTCACCACTAATAGTTATAAATAACTTGCTTTGGGAAAGGTTGATCATATCTGTGGGCTTATTATGGTCATATGAATGGAATCTATGAACACAGATTTGGGTGGCCTTTGCAGACAGTCGTGTTGCTTTATTTATAGCTGTTGGTTTAGACAGAAATGGAAAGAAAGGAAATTGTCTTAAAAAGGTGAGGAAATGGAAAAGAACAAATTCTGGTTCAGAGGGACTGCTGCAAACCCAGGATCGCTTAAGGAGAGAATAAGGAAGAGAGTGAGGGGTTCAGGCTTCAGGAGCCTGCCAACTGGGGGTTTGGTCACCTCAGTGGCTTCTTGGTATTCAGGCAGGGGGCATCCTAACCTTTGCTTCCCTTTCCTGCTTGCTTTCTTAGGTATTATCAAGCATCACTGCATTCATTGGTGCCTGTCTAAATTCCTTCTGAGAGAAAAGTTTTGGACATTCTTGTAAAAACAACAACAACAACAGGAAAAAGATTTTTGAAAAAAAGGCTTGTGTTATTTCAGAGGAATACGTGCTTACTTTTGAAAATATGCATGTTGACTCTTTGCTATAAATCCTTTTTTAAATAATTTTTTATTCTTAAGTTGT